ACCTTTGCGGCGGTATTTAAAAAAACAACATATGCCAGCAATTTACACCGAGTTTACATGAAGCAGGCATATGAAGTTGCTGTATATGAACACAGAAACGTATGCTTTTTGTTAGCTTTCCTCTTCATAGCCGCCTCTGTGTTTTGCAAGCAATGTGTGTATATTACAACTGAGCGCTCCACCCGACATTTATTAGTATTCATAGTTGCACCCCCCAGGACAGTGTATTGTGTGTATAGGCAGAGCTGGTGTTTAGTGATTGTGTTACACAAAATCAGAGGCAGGAGGGCAATTTTTTACAGGGTGCTTTACAACACGACCCCAGTGTCAGACTGAATTTCCTGTGGAGAATATTTTGAATTTTTAGGCTGCAGGCCTAATAAAAAGTTAAAAGAGAACTATGGGGTAAGTGTTTTACCCCATAGCTCTCTTTAGGGTCATGGGAGGACATATACTAACCTTGTAAGTGGGAAGTGAGCGGATCGGCTGGAAGTTTTTGCTCACTTCCCGATCAATAGAGCCGACCTGTGACAGCTTCTTTGTCACAGGTCGGCTCTAACTATGAGGATGAGTGGAAATCACTCACCGCATAGTTCTCCTTTAACCAAAAAAAATGAAGAAAGCCTGCAATGTGAGCCATGAAAATGCGCACACACATACATCATCACTGCACCTCCACATTACCACAATGAATGCTATTCACTTACAAAGGTGGAAATGGATTTTAAGAAAGCCAAATGTAATGCATAGCACAGCTTCAATATCATCTTAGCTTATTTCTAACATCTGTACAGACTAAGTGGACTAAATAGTTTTTGTTTAACCCAATGCAAAAAAAAAAAAAAAAGGTATTCTATTCACATTCTAGCTGCTTTCCGGCAGACAGCATTTCAAACAGATAAATTATCATATTTCCTGCTTTCCGCAAATTAAAATGAGAGATAACCATCTCCTACTCGGCTTTGTCTGTTCCAGCATCACTTATTACAAAAGCCAGGCTCCGTCAATGCTTTTCCTTTGTAGTGAAACAATAGGCACAGAAGTGAGGATCGGTGTGTTTGTACAGATAACGGCTGCACTCCGATTCAGGAACTGCTTACAAAGATTAAAGGAAAAATAACAGCAATCATAAGGAAATTAAAGCAGAAATCCTTGGATTATGTTTTTTTTATTAACCCCCACACGACACACGGTCAAGTGTTCGTTTTTTATCTAGGGCTGCTGGAAAAAAAAAAAAAAGTTATACCCATCTGATCCTCAGAGATGGTTTGTTGTTAGACAGGCCCCTGGAGCCTCTCTCTCCCTCTGCTGCAGTCGTATAAGGTCCCTGAATCATCACATTTTTATACGCAGTGTATAGGACTGTGGGGATGCAGAGGGACATACCTTCACTGCAGCAGAGGAGACAGGATGAAGGGATCACGGTCATAGTTAGACGGCTCAGAGGATAGGGTGAGCTGTTAACCCTTGCAGTGTGGGGGTAGCCCCACTGTAGGGGTTAATAATATGCCCAGAGTTCTTCTTTAAAGTAGGCAACACTTCCCATTATTTAAATGCTAAGGAAAAACACAGTCGCTGCATGGTAATTCAGCCTGGCCAAGTGTTCAGGTTTATGGCTCTGCAGAGGTGTATGGGGCAGAACTGTCAAGGTTGCTTATAGTGATAAAATATTGATCAGAAAGAGATTTCTAATCTATACAGTTGATAACTTTACCCAAGAACTGTCAGCCAATAGGCATCAGGCCAATAATGACCAGAATGGCTGACTGTGATTTCATCTCTGTGGGTTCTTTACATTTTACTTTAATGCTTTCTAGGCATTGCGATAAAATATCTGCCAGGGTAACCATAGACGGCCTGATTTCAGCCAAAATCAAGCATTGCGGCAACATCAAGTGTAGCCATGTAAGACTTCCCTAAGGGTACTAATGCGCATTTGCCACTATTGGAAGTGACTGGTATTGCACACAGAAATGTGTTACATTGTAACAGTGCCAATACTTCCTCGTTTAAGTATCATGTGCATTCATTGGCTGAGAGATATCACATTGCGTTTGAGGAGCAGCAGATATCTCATTGCCTGTCATGCTCAGTTAAGACATCTCATTTCAGGTTACTTAGAACCCTGTCGCTGCCCTCTGATGTCTAAAGCGGGCCATGCACAGATCATCTTTCAGCTGTTTTCTGCTGAATGATTGAAAATGACAAAATTGTCAAATTTGCCAATTGAAAAATCGCCTTTTGATGAAGAAGACGGGTGGAATATTGTCTGTGACCAGTGACTGCACTCAATCAGCTGAATGTTTGAGTATTCTGACAGCCACAGGCACTGGCTGTCAGAATGCAATATCCTGGTGGGGAGAAAGGCATGGGTTCCTCCTTAGTGGTGTAGGTGGAATCAAGAGATTTCTCTCGTTTAACCCACAAGGTTTATCATGAAACAAATGTCATCACGCATGCAAACGGCTACTGTAGCGCAGCCCTGAGAGGGAAGTCCAGTCAGGTAAGCCTCCAAACCACATAGCAAGCCCTTTAGGTCCAAAGCTACAGGTCAGGCAAGGGGTGGGGGGTCAGGAAGAGTTAAAAACAAATCCAATCCACATGCTACATGTCATAACAAAGGTCTAATAGTGATCGTTCTTCCATTCTCATGATGTTATTTGATTCAATTACCTATTTTTCTGCTCCCCATGGTCGGCCTGGAAGTAACTCTACATTGTTTTTAACTCTCTAAACCAGCGGTTCTCAACCTGTGTAACCTCAGGAACCACATTTGTCTTTGGCCATTAAGTCGCAACCAAAGTCGCAATGCAATGGAATGAACGGCATTAGGGTGCTGCACGTTCTGGTGGGGGCGTACAAACTCTGGGTGGGAGGTGCGTTTGGGGTACCATTCAAATAAATGGCAACGCAACACACCTCCCACACCAGAATGCAGGTAGGTGTGATTGTGTGGTACAGTTTGATGCACTGTACTAGTGTGAACAGACCCTCAAAAACACTGACATACATACACAGACACAATCATACACACTCACATACACACTTTTTTTTAAGGTCCACCCAGTCTCCATACCTTACGAGAACTGGAGAGGATCCTCAGCCTGGGGTCCAGTGTGAGCTGCTGTGATGTGACAGAGCTCCATCCATATATGCATTGCTTGTTCAGCTGCCTTGTAAGCCCTGTAGAGGTGCTGGGAGCCAGAATATGATGTCACTCCGGTCCAGGCAACTCTACAGGATATGTGAGGGAACTGTAAGCAATGCACGTATGGATGGAGCTCCCTTACACCCATAGCCCCAGCCTGCCCCACCTAAAGCTGACACTCAGTGCTGTACAGCATATTTTGAATGGCTGCTTGGCGTGAAAACCGACAGTGCTGTGTTAGGGGGAGGCAGAGAAACCGCTCACCTAGAAAAGTACAAGGCATGTGGCGACCCACTGAACACAGGGTCGCGACCCACTTTTGGGTCACCACCCACCAGTTGAGAACCAAGGATCTAAATTAATTTTTTTTCTGCTCTTATTTATGATGGTGACAGAGTAAGGAAGAAGGTGATACCTTCTCTTTGTGTTACAACTGCTTATTATTTAAGCGGTGAATGGAAATTTGTGAGCCTAATCGGGGATCTCTGTGGTCGATGGACACATCAGCACTTTTCTAGAAACTGCACCATTGTGATCGTTGTTTTGTGGCACAGTTTTTCCCCAAAAAATACTTTATATTATGGAATTTATACTATTACCAGACACAAACATTGCATTTGTTTCATATGTCATTTGCACAAAATAATGTATTATTTGTTCACATTTCTGTATGATATAAAGTATACAATGATTTTTGCACATTACAGTATTTAGGGATTTTAGGGAGAAGCGCTGTATGTCTTTGTTTAAGGCAATATATCAATTGTTGCTATTTTATACAGCTGCTGGTTAGACGTTAAGAGTCTGTAGTTATATTTAGCACAGAACATTGTTTTAATTCAGAATTATATGTTCACAACACAAGATATGGGCAGTGTAAAACCACCATAAAGAGTGAAAATGGACCAATTGACCATATTAAATGCACTGCTCTCTCTTCTCCAGCCCAGTTCACTGTGACCCTTTCTTTTCAATGACAATGTCGTGTTCTAAGTGCAGAAGCAGACAGTCCTAGGTTATGTTGCCCCCTACAAATCCAAAGTAGATTTAGAGACACTCGCTTGTCTTACAGCGGAGAAGTGAAAGCATCAACATGTTATTGTCAATGTTATGTTGCCCTCCTTATAGCTTTACATTAGCAGCCCTAAAATGATGATCTCTATGTAACGCAATCCTTCACTCTAGTGCAGTGGTTCTTAACCAGTGTAACCTCAAGACCCACTTTTGTCCTTGTTCATTAAGTCACGACCAAAAAAATAAATTTCAATTCTGAAACATTATCATTTACTCCACAAAACAACTTGTGCAGTATTCCACAGTGTACCCGTACTCAAATGCTCCGATACTTACCATGATACTGGAGCTTCTGGTCAGAGGGAGATTTCCTCTGGCAGTGCCGCGAGGGCAACAAGGAAGCTGGGCAGCAGGTAATGACTTGCCGCCCAGCTTCATGATTGTCCGGGGAGCTGGCTCCATGCTGTTTGGCCTGCCTATGCTGCAGCTCCGCCTCCTGAAGAAAAAAAAACCCCTTCCTGCATATGATCTACGCATCCCTGCCAGACAGTTGTGAGCTAGTCAAGGAGTCACGCATATCTACAGGGTTACTGGTTACCCCTTGTATGTTATAATTCTCTTTGTAGGGAGCCTTGAATCCGACAGTGACATTATCAGTTATTAGAAGGAATAATATTGTTCCCATTTCAGCTCTCAAATTTGCTCTTGCCGATTTGACTGCATGGATATAAGTAGATGTAAGGTGTTGTGAAGAGAGAATATACCATACAGTGCAGAGAAATTACTTCACCTACATATACTTGTACTAAGAATTGAATCTCAAATGAAAATAACTTACCATTTGAATCTCCTCTGGGGACAATTCATCTTCTCCTAGACTGTCATCCCAAAGACCTGAAGTACTCTGAGTGTCAGACACCGTCCTCTCTGTCCAGATGGGAATGCAAGCATGGTTAATTCATGATACGGAACTTGTATTGCTTTTCATGTCTACGAATAAAATTATATATATAGATCTATATATAGATATCTATATATATATACAGTGGGGCAAAAAAGTATTTAGTCAGCCACCAATTGTGCAAGTTCTCCCACTTAAAAAGATGAGAGAGACCTGTAATTGGCATCATAGGTAGACCTCATTAGTCTACACTAATTTAGAATAGTCTAGCTTTAATATAGCCATCATTAAAGAAGCACTCCAGGCAAAACTTTTACCAACCCTTAAAGTGGGGCTACCCCCGCACTGCGAGCTGGGAGACAGGGACAGTGTGTTGTCCCTTTAAACTGCTCGTTTTTGTTTAGATTCTAAAATAAGAAAGTTATACTCACCCGAACCTCAGAGCTGGCCAGCTGTCACAGTGCTCCCTCCAGCCTGTTTCCTCCTACACTGCAGCAATGCATTGAACATCCCTCGACATTGGGCCTGATGACTCTTGGACCTTAGACTGCTGCAGCGGAGGGGAAGTGAGGCTGGAAGGATTGGTCTAAGACTAAGCTGGCTCCAAGAATTGGGGGAGTAAACATTTTTTTATTTTAGCACCTAGGCAAAAACAGGAATTTAACCCTTGCAGTGGGAGGGTAAACCCACTGCAAGAGTCAATAAACGTTTTGCCCGGAGTTCTTTAAATATAGAGTTTACATAGAGTTGGATTTATTAATCATCCCCCTAGCCATATGCTGCCAAATGACATTGGCAAGGCATCCCTGCCACATGTTAATGTAATTTTAAAAGTATTTTTAAATCTGTAGCTTCAATGTAATTAATATCAGGTGATCCTGCCATAAAGGTCATTGTTCAGTACTTCCGGTTATAAGGGGACAACACTCTGTTCCCGTCTTCCAGCTGTTTTCCTGCATTATCATTCTGTCAATGGAAACTACAAATGGCTTTGTCAGCGCACATTGCACAGGCATGGTGCACCGTTGTCATATACAGTGAACTGGCCTTGAGAAATGAAGGCACAACAGCACAACTGACAGTGGATGCAAAGAGACTGCAGGAGAATTGCAAGGAGATATGACACAAATTATAAAAAATATTTAACAAAAGATTCTGACCCATCTCCATTTTATGTAAAAACAAGAAAAAAAAACATTTTATGCTCATGCAAAACGCCACTTGTGAGTGGAAAAAGCAGCAGGAATTCCTGACGTCATATACTCCATACTTCACCTGTATTTTCTTCTCCTGCTGGCTTGCCTTCCTCCTTTCCTTCTGTATTCACAAAGGTAATCGTCTCTATTGAGGGCAATGTCTTCGCTTTGTGGATCTGTTCTGGTTCTAACCTTGATCTGCAGACAAAACACAGAATAAAGCTGAACCATAAGAGAGCCCGGGAGTCCTGAACGCATTACTTAGAATCCGAGGAATAAGCAGAACTCTTCTTATAAATATAGGACTTTTGTGGAAATCACAAAACATGACTATGTACCACACTTAAGAGCTCCAGGAATCAAAAAAAATTAACCCTAGCATTGGGATCACCCCGCACTGCAAGGGTTAACTGCTCATATTGGTCTAGGGGCTAAAATAAAGAAAATATACCCACCTGATCCTCTCTGGCTGCTAGACCGGTCCCCGCAGCCTTTTCTCCTCCGAGCTCTGGTGATCTAAGCCCCACTGACATCATCAGGTCTAATGCAATCTATTCACCTGATGTGAGGACGCAGAGGGACATACCCCAGCTGCAGTGGTGAGGGAGAGGCGAGCGCTGACCACTGCAGGACCGAGCATCAGGTGAGCATATCTCCTATATTCCGGCCCCTAGACTAAAACGACCAGTTAACCCTTGCAGTAGGGCTAGCCTAAATTTCAGCTGCTTTTTGATAAAAGATGGACAAAATTTGCTCCGTGAGTGGCTCTTTTGGCAGCCTTCAATCAGACGTGGCTTGGAAGAAGCTTAATCACCAGAAGCCCAGATTTGCCAAAGACATCTGAAGAACCCCCAAAGCCAAACAAAGAAAGCTGTGTCACTGTCATATGCAACATGTGCGGCGTAATGGGCCCAATCGTCATTTTCGCACGTATGTTTGCATGCGTGTATGTACGGGTGGGGACTTTAACATTTTTGACATTTTTTAAAAATTATTTTTAATGTGTGACTTGTTTTCTGCAACTTTAATTTTTTTTTCCATTAAACTTTATTGCTATCACATAGGGGGCTAGGGACCCCCCTTATGTGATAGCAAAGAGGATGTGACAGGTCCTCTTTATGGAGACATCAGGGATCTCCAAGACCCCCGTCACCTAGGACCCCCCCTGAAGAAGCTGATGAAGCAGAGATCTGCTTCATCAGCTTCTCCCCAGCTTCTGAAGCTGGAGAGTGACACAAGAATGCGGAAGTGATGTAATATACATCACTTCCGCATTCTGACAGCAGAAAGGGGACCGGAGGGAGCTCGTGTACCAATCTACCCCTGATCCCATCACAGAGGTGTATGTGTATGTAAACAGGCATTGGTGTTTTTAAAATTGCCCACTTTCCCGCTCGCGTGCGCCACGTTTACAAACGCGCGCTCAGATCCAGCGAGCTCCCAGCCGGGAAGTGGTTAAATTACTTGCGAAGAGTGTTTGTTTGTCTGAAGAAGGGACCATGCATTTCCGAAACGTCGCTATTATGATGTGACACGACATACTGACTACAAATGAAGCTGGAATGCGAGTAACTTTCCCATACTATATATGGGAGCTGAACTCCAGGCACACAACTAAATAAACAAATAACATGCATATATGACAGCTGTTTTACCTGCCAAATGATTTTATATTTCTGCCCATCCACTCCTGAGATTTACACAGCACTTCCACAGAGCACAGCCCTGCCTGGCCAGGGAGAAGACCCAACTGTTCTAGGCTGCAGTTTAGTAACACAGACAGGTCTCCTCCCAACCTTCCCCCTATATCTGGACAGTAAAAGGAGAAGCACAGAATGGTGCTCTTCTCCTTGCATTGCAGCACAACTGACTGGCTACTTGTGCAGCCCCTCCCTCTCTCAGTCTGAGCTCTGCTGTACAGGGACTGTGAGAGGCTGATTCTCAGTTAAATTTAGGGTACGTACACTGCTGAGATGTTCATAAAATACATTATCCACTTCCAGCGGGTGGCTGTATAGAAATGTCCTGTCCTGAAGTGGTTATATGAAGAACACAGCTGCTGCAGCAGCCATGTTCTTGGTATCATTTTAAACAGCCAGCGATGGCTGTTCAGATACAAGTGATCTGGCAGCTATACAGCCACCCAATCGCTTGTACCGTGCGGCTGAATGTGTGTGTCCCCTCCTCCACCGCTGGCTACCCCAGGCTCTGCTGTCCCCCGTGTGGGCCTGGGACTGGCACGGTGGGTCTCCCCTCATCATTTGGAGGGAGATCAGCAATCTTCTAGCCGCTGATCTCTCCTCCATCACTGGGCACATTCTCCGGCTCTTGTAGCCAGGAGAAGCTAGTGAAGCAGATTGCTGCTTCATCAGCTTATTTGGGGTCCCTAGGTGATATCAGGGGTCTGAAAGACCCCTGATGTCTCCATAATGAGGACCTGTCACATCATATTTGCAATTACATAGGGTTGCTTATTAGCTCCCGACCTGATAGCGATAAAGTTAAGAGTAAAAAAACAAAACAAATTAGAGTGACATATGGAAAAAAAAAAAAGCAAAAACATTTTTTTAAAGTGCCCCGCCTCCACATACAACCGCAAACGCGCACCGGGTGTGCAAAAACAAAAATTGCGCCACACCTATGTACCCGATGTGACCCCATTTTACCAGAAAATTGTGTATCATATTCTGTTTCTGTGCACTAAATTTAATTTTAGTGTATTGTATCCTAAAAATACCGGTTTGATAAACATTTGCGCAAATACCGTGCAACATAAAAAATTGCAACTAGCATTTCTTTTTTATCCTACAGGGCCTCTGCTTTCACAAAATATATCATTGTTTGGGGGGTTTATAAGCTGTTTTCAAGGCAGAAATTTAGATTTTATTGTGTGTGCAAATATTAAGAAATTGCTCCGGACAGCAAGTGGTTAAATGATTCATTAATGAATACAGGGCTGCATTAATCTCTGTCTTTTATATCTGCAGGGAGTTCAGCTTCATGGATCAGATGAATAAGTATGATCAGTGGTAACTCCGGGGGGTCTATTTATAACCAATTTGCAAAGCTTTTCATCCGACAAATCTTTATAAACGTTCGTTCTCTGAGAATAGATGCAAATAATAAATGTTCTTGGATATGTTTTATTTTCATGTTCATTGTATGCAAATACTACATTATGGCCACGAGATAAAGAGCATAGGAAATATGTATTACATTGCATTACATGCATTCCAGCTGAAAAGAAAATATATGTTAGAACGTTTGTTTTTTGCTTGTATTCGCACAGACACCGAATGTTCAGAAAGATTTGTAGGGCAAATGACTCTACATATTGGTTATAAATAGACCCCCCAGACACCTTTCATGTATTGGACCCTCCCCCAGCCTCAGTCATGTTGTGAAGGGGATTACAGCAAAGTAATAAACAAACTGATTCAAGTATTTACCACAGTGGTTTAGAAGAATATGTGTAATTATTTTTTAGAGGTGCACCGAAATTAAAATTTCAAAACCGAAATAAAAATAAAAATTCCTATCAAATTTTTTAAAAATATTTTATTTTTATTTATTTTTTTATAAACGTTTGAATTTTTTATATTTACTTATTTTTTATTAAATATTTTTTATTTTTTTTTACTTTACTTTTAGGGGCTTTCGGGAAATATTAGGGGGTCTAAAGAGATCCCTGATATTTCCCTTTTAAAATAGAAAAAGAGATTGAGGACATAGGGTCCTCAATTTCTTTTTCTGCAGCCCCTGTTATCAATGAAGAATAATCCTCTATACTGAGTGTTCCTGTTCATTTATAACATGAGGCCGGAGTATGTTTACTATAACCACAATCATGAATGAACAGGAGGTGATGTAGATCACTTCCCATTCATTCATAATTGAGGATATAGTAAACATACTCTGATCACTGACTGCTTGTACCCGCTCTCCATCCTGCCACGCTGTCACAGGAGGCTGAGCGAGCGGTGCAGGAGGAGAGCTCAGCCTTTTGTGACAGCGCTGGCTGTCTCCGCCCACACACCACTCTCCCGATCTGTGACAGGAGGCTGAGCGGTGTGGGAGGAGAGACGCTGGCCGCTCACAGCGCTCTCCTCCCGCATCGCTCGGCCGCCTGTGACAGTTTCTCTCCTCTCGGACACAGAGCAGCGCCCAGCGGGGAGGAGAGAAAGAACGGATGCACTGCTGTATCGGCCAGAAAATTATTATGCCAAAAGTGGCATTTTCGGCTGATATGTTTTGGCGGCCGATATATCGGTACATCCCTAATTTTTTTATGATACATGATAGGATTTAAGCCCAACTCCTGGGTAATTTTTTAATAGTCCCCCAGCTTGTTTATTAAAACACAAAAAAAACCATACCTTAAATCAATGGCTCTCAACCACAGTACTACATTTCTGTCCTCTTCGCTAGGGGTCATCCAACCTGGAAGACTGAGGACATCCTGTGAGCATAGGGAGTCATGGGCCTTCCCTAATGGGGTGTCACCACCATCACAATATAATGATGACGAAAGCAGTGCTAATGTCATCATGTCAGCCTCACTCTCTACATCACAGTGGGGAACTGCCAGAGAAAAGGCAAAGAGGAGGACCCTTTGGGTCAGGGAAGGGTAGCCGGCTGGCAAACTCAACATCTTGCTGCCCGGGTCCCTATTAGGCACATTTCCCCTGTTTGACAGGTCTCATACAAACCAAGAAGTAATGGGAACTCCCCCACCTAAAAGAAATACTGACAGCAATAAAAACCTATTTCTAGTAAAGTAAGAAAGATTTTGAACCCCTGTTGGCATTTTATTGCGAGGCAGACATGCCCTCACTTCCTGTCCAGGTGATGGGTATCAGTGATAACAGGAAGAGAAGACAATTTTCCTTTACTGGGACACACTCAGAATTTAAAATCTAATACAAGTTTGATCTTTTTCTCATGCTACTCAGAGTAAGAGCCCATTCACACCAGGACGGTAGCGGATCAGCGCAGTTACCGCGCTGATCTCGCAAGGGAGGTTTTGGGAGTTTTTAATTGCTTTTCAGCGCTGAAACCTGTATGGAAACTGCACTGATCAGCGCTGCAATAATATGCAGGGAGCAGTTCTGCTGGGGGGCAGTTCGGATCGCGCTGACCCGCACGGTCGCATTAACGGTCCCCATAGCAATGTATGGGATCGTTCATGTCGGCGGATCCGTGCGGCCGAACCGCCCTGGTGTGAATGGGGCCTAAAAGTTTTGTCTGCAGCTGGGCTTTAACATGTCGCATAAAGAACAGAAGACAAATGAATCTAAATGAGTCCAAGTAGATATGTTTGGTTGCTACAGGTTCCTGCACAGCCACCTCTACCACTAGGCTCATCAATCAACCCAATAGCCTTGTATTATTACTAGTTCTGGAAAGCAGGAAGTCATTGGAAGAATATTGAACTCTATTCAATTATGTATCCTCATATGAGCAATGAAGGATAGAGTCAGGCAGACCAGGGATGTATTCAGTAATGGAAGGATTACATTAAGGGAAAATACCATGCATATTCAGAGTGTGGAAATAATAGACTTTCCCATTACAGCTCCAATCACATCATTTCTTCTTTTTACCATCTCAATTATGGAGTATAATAGTTTTTTATTGAAAAGGAACAAAATGCCTCTCAAGCCTTAGCACAAAGGAAATCTATTAATGTGATAAAAGCATTTCTAATTATTGCATTAAGCCTCCTCTAATACCCTACGGGAGGACAGCAAACACATATTTTAACGCTCCGCAGAGATGGTTTTGATGTGGAATATGGTCCATTTGTAAAGGTCTTTTTATCTTCTGCTGTAGACGTCCACATCTATGTGCGCACATTGTTGCAGAGAGCCAGTGTGCATTTCTGAATGAAATGTTTGATCTTCATCCAATATTTAAATGTATTAGAGATGCCGAGTAATACTGCAGTGCGACGAGCACGCTTCATCTGTAAATCAGGTAACAGATAACCAGCTTCCGATACTATTCAGGAACTCTGAGCCAGGGAATCTCTCCAAAGGCATCTCAGATCCATCTGCAGCATTGGACAAAGCCCGGATCTTGAAGGGAAACGCTCAGGGCAGAATATCCAAATATTAAAGTGAACCTGCGCTCAGATGTCAACAAATAGCCATGCAAACAGACCTGCTGGCACACATATATAAAAAGTAATAGAAAGGATGGAAAATAACCTTTCTTGGAAAATGCTGCTTTATGGTGCTGGCCACGTCTGATGGTCTGAGGATTTGATCATGTGATCTCTGCTTAAGGGGAGGATTGGAGGTTAGATTGGCTGATCCCGCCTTCAACAAAGATCACATGATGAAATGATCAGACTTGACCATTCTCTCCATGAAAGGTGAGTATTTCAGCGTCTTTTACACTTTATGAAATCCACAAGACTGTGCACAGGGCTTTATATGAATATCGGAGAATAGGTCGACTGTAAAGAACAGTGGTGGGTGGGTAATATCTGGTGATCCTGCCAAGAAGGTTCTAGTTCGTGAACTTGGATAATTACTGCAGGATTTAATATGTTTCATCTGGCAACAAGTTATTCAACCCTAACTGATGCAGTGAGTAGCTTCTCATTTGTTAAACATCAATGGATTTTTTTTCTTTCCTGATGGCACATTGGGCATATTCCAAGATGACAAAGCCAGGATTCATGGGGCTCAAATTATGAAAGAGTGGTACAGGGAGCATGAGACATAATTCTCACACATGGATTGACCACCACAGAGTCCAGACCTTAACCCCATTGAGAATCTTTGGGATGTGCTGGAGAAGACTTTACGTAGTAGTCTGACTCTCCCATCAACACTACAAGATCTTGGTGAAAAATAAAGGTGACAGAAATAAATGTTGTGACATTGCATAAGCTTATGGAAACGATGCCACGGCAAATATGTGCCGTAGTCAAAGCTAAAGGCATTCCAACAAAATATTAGAATGTGACTTTTTTGGCCAGACCAAATGACAGGCCGATATGTTAAAGTGGAAACCTGTACTGAAAGAAATACAGAGGCAGTCACTGCCGACCTCCTTCTGAGAATATGATAACTGCCTGTCAATACTGTGAGACATTGACCTGGAACAGATGAAGAAAGTCAGCCTAAAATCAGAACTCCCAATTCGCATACTTGTTCCAGGTCAGCGACTTAGAAAGTACTGAAGCCAATGGATCAGTATTATAACAAGGGACATAGTAGTTCCAGAAAGAGAGGTTAATGATGGCACACCATACTTCCTAAGAACTGGTGTCCTATAAATTGTACATATCTCTTTCTTGATAACACAGTCCATTTAACACAGACCATCAACTGAGGATTCTGATGTGAATTAATGGGCACATCATTAATATGAAGCCAGTAAGCGCTGCAGCCAATTTAGACCAAGGCTGTGCAGCTCATTAGATTGTACTGCTTCACTGAATGGATACTCACAATCTTTTCTTGTCCACCAAGCGTTTGACTCTGATGGCTCGCTGCTCCGAGTATAGCTTACACACTCCTACAAAGACAGGAAATATTCCATTAGCAGCAAACTAATAGACAAGACGGCAACTAACTTATAATCTACCGCAAGACTGACCTCTCGTAACACCTACTTTTTAAATAGTCTGCAATGAAATCCAAGACGGCATTTCTATGTGCTTTCACCTGAGGTGAAACTGTATCTTTGCTTGCTGCAAATAAGAAAAAAAAATCAATATAAACTGTTTTTATAGTAGAAAACCCTTCTCGGTCATGTACTGTACATACTATAAAAATAGAATAAAACTGATATTTTAAATGCAATTATACTAGGAACTAGGGATGCACCGATATATCGGCCGAAAATGGCACTTTTGACATAATGCCGAAAGTGCCATCTTTTGGCCGATACAGTGGTGTATCTGTTCTCTCTCTCCTCCCCGCTGGGTCATGTGTTTTATTTGCCTGATGAAGGAACCTCTGGGTTCCGAAACGTTGCATTAAGATGTCATACCCCTTGAGCGAATAAACGAGTTGAATGGACATCGAATAGGAGTGCGAACAGCTTTTTCGTTGGTTGTACATTGTTTGCAGAGGCATCTGCTGCTACTCCGGCACCCGCCCTGTATATTGGGCTATCTACCGGTCAGACATACACACAGGATTGCAGGCCTGCGGTATGTTCTTTAAATTTCGCTGGCAAATGGCGAGTCACCTGACCTCACTGATCAACTTCTTAGCAAAAAGCACCTCTTACTGGTCAGCGTGGTCAGAAGCGCTTCCCATTGGTCAGCATGGTCAGGAAATTGAGCAATCAGATTTTATACCAAATGGTCAGCTTTATACCGAATGGTCAGCTTTAAAAACACCTGCTGGTTGTTTACATTGGAGGGCTGGCAGGCGTGAATGAGGGCTAGTTTTGAAGTGCTTGATTAGAATATGTAAATATATGTGCATGATCTGGGTACAGGACAACTTTTAATTGTGTAATCCTAAAACCTGGATTAGGGTATGTTAACCAATGACTGCATAAACTTGAAATGTGTTCATTAAAAGATGTAGCTGTTTACAATGTGTTGCAGGGAAAGGTGAATGGGAGGGGCAGTGTTAGGCCAATCGTGTTGTAGTCCTGTTGCAATCCTAAGCGGTGGAGTAAACCCCAAGTGGGTGCAACAGTGCTTGCGGATGGCGCTGCAAATCAATCCATAAAGCAATAAAGGGTACGCTGGCACTCCAAATATCCTAAAAGTCAAGTCCTCTTCATTGGCCTGACAGAAAAGGTTTCACTGTGTAGAGCAACATTTCAGAACACAATCAGGTTCCATCCGTCCGTCGCAATGTTTGCCCGAGGAAGGAACCTGATTGTGTTACGAAACCTTGCTCTACACTGTGAAACCTTTTCTGTCAGACCAATAAAGAGGACTTGACTGTAACCAGGGTAGTTGCGCTAGGATATATTTACAGAAATTAACCAGCTGCAGCAATATCTATCAACGTGATCAAGTGTAAGCCGGGGTGCTGCGCTTGGTTGTGTGTGATCCACCTTTTAATTGGTCTTTAAGTTGTGTGAAAATGTGAAAATATCACAAACTAAATAGAGTGCCACTGATCAAATCCTAATTGCGGCTGTATACTGAAAATACAAGTCGAAAAAAGGAAGGTAAATGTGTTCGTGAATAAATATTAAATATTATTAAATATTATGTTAACAATGTAAATATCGCAAGATATGTGTAGCATATGTAAATAAATAAAATATTGTCGTGTGGAAACAAGTTATATTGTGAATAATAAGGAGGGTTCTCCATCCATACTGGAGGCTGTCTAAACACCGCCGATGAGAGGAAGTGCAGCCTGACGGCAGGAGAGGGCAGAGAGACTATTATTGAAGAATTTTTCCCTCTGCGGACTCATCAATAGAACTATAAGTAAAAGACACTTGACTTCCAATGCTGCTCGGAGGAAAATAGTATCTTGCTGCTTACAATCCCCGATCATACACCTCTATATACACTATATTTTATTCACCTTTTATATCAGTAGATGTGTTTTTATAAGAATTTTGTGCACTTTGGCTTGTAGCTTTTGACTGGCCATACAAATAGTTTTTATTCCATTTTTATTCATATTTTTATTTTCTAATTTTTGATTGCCAGATGGAATAATTCACCCATTTACACATTTTTCAACCAGATTTTATTTATTTATTATTCACAATATAACTTGTTTCCACACGACAATATTTTATTTATTTACATATGCAACACATATCTTGCGATATTTACATTGTTAACATAATATTTAATATTTATTCACGAACACATTTACCTTCCTTTTTTCGACTTGTATTTTCAGTATACAGCCGCAATTAGGATTTGATCAGTGGCACTGTATTTAGTTTGTGATATTTTCACATTTTCACACAACTTAAAGACCAATTAAAAGGTGGATCACACACAACCAAGCGCAGCACCCCGGCTTACACAAAGAGGACTTGACGTTTAGGATTTTTGTAGAGCAAGTGTACCCTTTATTGCTTTAGTGTTAGGCCGATGTCACACTATTGATCCTGTTGCTAGTGACATTGCCAAGGGTACACAGGGCATAGCAGGGCAGTCAAACACTCACATGCTTATTTGTCCTGACTGGATGAGCAAGGCATCACTCTCTCACGGTTGACTTACCTTTAACGAGGGAGCGCCGCCTTACTCATCCAGCCAGCAAGGGAGCGAGGAGGCAAGCGTTCTATTTGCACTTTTAAGGGATCCTGTTGCTGGCAAGTTCTCACCAGAATCACTAGTGTGATGTAAAAGGAGTTTTTAGGTAAATGTGAGGCAGGAAAGGACAGGACTGCCCCACTTTTTTAATGTTTAATAGCTGAAGCACTCTGAAAAAGAAATAAAAAAGTATAGGCTGCAGAAATCTTTTTAAACCTGGGCTGCAGGAATTATATGTGGCAGATGATTAGTTGCTACTCACACCATTTTTTTTTCCAGGCTGAATAGTTACAGAATAGATTGGTTGATTGAGTAGTTGATTAACTGATTAGGTAGGCTATCACATTACAAGGTTTTTGTTAAATCCAAATCCTCTGACATAATTCCGTATGCAGAGGGCTTTGTGCATTATAATGGTTTAATTACTTTGTCACTGGGTTCATCAATACCTAGATGCCCAGGCTAAACCTAGCGGTGTCCCATATGTAACGGTTAAAGCTGATCTCCATGAATGATCTTTTATGCATACTTACATTGGTCCAGCTCGGCTCGATAAAAATATTCATATCTGATCCAGAAAGCGAAAGCCGCTGAAGATGCTAAAAATTCACTTTAGCTGGCGCTACAAAAAGTGATAGCTGGTCTCTTCCGGCTGCGGCTCCAGTGGCCTACCTTTTGCACACAGGGAGTCGCTTGCTCGCACTGCTGTCATTCAGAACACCTTATATGTTTTCATTGAATACATACAAGTCTTATTGGAAGAGTTGGAGATTGTTTCCATCATACACATCCAAACAGAGAACTACTTGTATCCATAAAAAAAAGGTGCTCCATGAATTGGCATGAATTGGCAGCATTGCAGAGTGAGCAACTCCACATCCTCAGTGTGCAGAGAGGAAGCCGCTGGAGACGCAAGAACAGCGCTGACTATATGTAGTGCAGACTACTACAGTGATTTTCAGCATCCCCAGTGGCCCTACAAGGATCAGATATGGGTACTTAGATTGAAATGTAAGTTTCCATAAAACATAATTCCTGGAGTTCCACTTTAACTCTCTGACTAATTTGCCTAGCTAAAAAAAAACAACAACATTTTTTAAAGGCTGTTATTTGGTATATTTACTAATTTCCTTGATTTGCCTGTATATTCTAAAATAGCAAAATTGTGCTTTAAGTGTGATTATTTAAGAAGCACAGATACGTCTGCCTCAATGTGTACTGACTACATCATGTGCGTGTTCTCTTTCCATGGCATTTATGTGAAATCAAACTTTCCACTAACATCTCCCAAGCGTATTAAGTGAATGTGGAATGGCAGTAAATGTGTGAATGAGGAACAGGCTGAGTTCATCAATAAATGGTTTCTCATTACTGCACCGCTACATGAGCGGAATACAGACGCCAGCACAGGAAACGGTACACTAGGTGCAGGTGACTGTATGACATTGTTATGGAAAATCATTCAGAAAACTGCAACCAAAATGACTTCAGATGGCCCTCTATCCCCGGATAACCCTGCCCTGTTCAATATTATAGTGTTCTCATAAAGTCTGAAGTGAAAGAATGGGAAAGCAAGCGCACTGACTAATGGTTGATGTTTAGGAAGGTTCTACAGCTAAGGCCATCTATTAAAGAACAAACTGAAGCATATAAAAAGCAGGAGATTGGTTGAAAGGTTTTGTCCCATTAAGAAAATGAAAGTGGACCTATCATAAAAATGAACACGCATGACATGCCATGACATGAATCAATAGATTACTACTATTTTGATTTTTAAAAAGCCCCTCATTCTTTTAGGCCTTGTTCACATGGGCAGCAGTCTCCACCGCCCTCTGAAGGCTTTATGGTTTTACTGTGACTTATAGCTGACATTTTATATTTTACCCACAGCATCACTTACTGGTAACATCTGCCACTGGTGGACAACAATGTAGATACAAAGATTCCCATTATCTTATCTCTGTTGTCCGGTGTTCACTGCGTACAACACTGAAACATGGAACCCAGCTCTTATTTCCAAGGTCGGTGCAGAAGATGTAGCTGACAGCGTTCCATGTAAACCCTCAATACCAGCAAGCCTTGGGTGGTCCGTCATTAGGTAAAGAGCAGCATTATTAATTCAACAGCTTTAATGGAATTGTGCAAACCTGCACTGTATGTCAAGCGGCTACTGAAATTAATTGTCCAACTGAAATGACTGGAAGATGAACATTTCAACGTGCAAATGATGACAGTGCAGTAAACTTGAAGCAAGGCAGCCTCAATACATGTTAGGCTGGCCTATACACCTGACTCTCAAAATACCTGAACAATCTGATTGGATGCAGGCATTGTTCAGGTGTTTTGGGAGCCAACGAGGCCCACTAGCAAGATACTGAAGCTTGGCCCACTAGCAAGATACTGAAGCTTGGCCCAGCGGGAGATTCCTCCATCCACACAGTTTAGTGTACATGGAGGAATCTGTTTTTTTCCATCTGACCATAGAAAATCTGCAGATAATCTATAGGGGTATGGCCAGCTTTAGTCATACCAACACAGATGTGAGACAGGCACTAGATGAGTATAGAGACTAATATACAGTGGCAATAGCAAATTGTAGACAAATAATATAGGTAAACAAAAACAGCAACAGAAAAAGAAGTAAAATTTGTCCCCCTGAAATTGCTCTGATCACCAAGTGATACAGCCACTGATTAGGGTCTTAAATTGGAATGGAGGAACTCTAGCCACACACTTTCACTAACCTTCTGTTCTCAGCTGCTGGATAGCATCAGAACAGGTTCTCATGAACGTCTGCGCATCCTGATCAATCTGATCGCGTTCTGTGTCAGTCATACGGGAATACTTTGAGGTCACATGACTGAAAAAGACAAATAAAACAAAGATCCTTAATCAAAGCATTGTGCAAGGCATAAAAAAGTAATGGCAAATCAGGATACAGTTTTAAAACAGGGAGTTCTTGAAATCACGAATATGTACTAGTTAGTGACACTAAACTCACTAAACCTTAAAAATACATTCAAGTACATTAACTATTAACAATAAGGTTATTTGTGTATCACTCGGCTGTAGATCCTCAAATCATCTCTGAATTGGTGCGGACATTGTGCTTCCTTCTGGAGGGTGGCTACTTTTGTCCCCCATGGTCTCTGTGTGTGCTGTAAAGTAGCCACTGCTCCAAGATCACTCCTGTGATGGACTACAATCTCACGTTTAGTTTACTAATTTGCATTGAGATTGTAGTCCATCACAGGAGTGAGCTTGGAGTGGTGACTACTTTACAACACACACGGGGAGGACATGGGACATAAGTAGCCTCCCTCCAGAAGTAAGGGCAGTGTCAGCACCAATCAGATCTACAGCCGAGTGATACACAAGTAACCTACATTTTTGTTAATAGTTAATGTTCTTGAATGTATTTTTAAGATTTAACTCTTGAGTTTAGCGTCACTGTATCATTTCTGTCCCTTTTTACATGAGCAAAGCAGGTAATATGCAGTCCAGGAAAAAAACTAAAAACTTTTGTTTGCCTAATCTACGATATCATGCTGCCTGATGGCAAAGTGCACATAATGTAATACAGACCTGCTAAGTTAGAACATAAGGAGGAGTGGATGCCTTTTAGGGGCATTAGAGGCAAGTCATGGGCTCTGGATGGGGACTGGCCATACAAAAAAAACGGCAGTACCTGTCTGCACCTTGGCACTTGCACTGAGCAGAATGCTATCCTCTGAGGTCAGACTACCTATATCCCACCTGTGCAAAGACTGTTAATGGTAGATAGGGGCAGCATGTGTGTCATTACTGTTGGCACTGGGCAGTGCAAATTGGCATCTGTACAAAACTAACCTGCAAGGAGGCAAACGCTCCATTAATCTCCATCTTAGAAGGTCACACAATTGTCTCGGTACCTTGTGATGTCTGTGAACCAATCACAATGATCACATGTGTAAACAATGATGGCCAGTGGAGGATCATTAAATATGGGTGTCGTATTTACTGACCCATTTTCTGTCTTGACGGAACACTGTTTAGTGCTAACCCGGCATTTATTCATAACTGAAGAGATAGTAAACATGAATGGGCACGTTTACCATCTCTTCGTTTGTGAATGAACAAGAAACGTTCTGTACAAAGTGCTCCCTTTTCAGTGTTAGTGGTGCGGCAGTGGCGATTGAGGGCTCTGTGTCCTAAATATGTTTCTCCATTTCAAATATCAAGGGTATGCTCAGACCCCAATAAAGCCCACAACAGTAAAAACATTAAATAAGAATAATTTCCCATTTACATCTGTGTAACTACTTACCGTGCATTGGGGTGTGCTGCATTTAAAATGCTCGTGCCCCTTTTACTGCTCTCCCGAGGGGGGGTCTGGTATGACTTTGTGGGGGAACCCCATGCTTTAAAAATATATATATATATAAATACAGGGTTAGCGCTGAACAGTGTTTGGTCAAGACAGCTATGTTTGGCTAAATCCTTCTGCTCCTTAGTGATCAACCCCCTAAAATGTTTCTTTCTGCCCGCTGTACTTCCAGTTCACAGAATACATGGTACTGTGTGAATGGCTAAGGGGAGACGAGGATGGAAATGCAGGCCAGAAGTAAAGCTACATTACATGTTGTTTTCACGGTTGGCATCTGTTCCAAACAGCAGGGAATCAGTGTACAGATCCCATGCTATATTGGAGTCACTTTTGTGACATCAGTTTTTTGTTTATCTCCATCTTGTAATGGAGGAAAAAAAAGGGACCCGTGTCAGTCTATGTGTAGGTGCGTCTATTTACATTCTTTTACCTCTATGAAAACTGAAAAGAAAATGTTCAGACCTAGTCAGACTCAGGTAATCAGATGTAAGCAGACATGCGTACCTTCGCATCCCTAGGCCCACAGACTAAAACTGAGCTTCCAATCTAATGATTGAGCTTCTAAAAAACTGACAGGTAGCTCTGATTAAAATGCTAGTGTAATAGGGGCCTAAAACTCACCTCTATAGGCAATGTAGTTTAATTTGTATCTATACTACTAGGCAATGATGAAGAAAGCTAGCCTTGAAGCAGACACACAGCATTTGCAGCCTGATGGCAGGTCAGCACAGTAATCAAGGTTATGACGCTTCATCAGATACATTTCAGAAATTGGAAATGGAAAATGTACGCTGCTAGCCCGGGATTAAAAAAGCAGCCTGATATTCTATATGTATAGATGAGCGAGAACTCTACAGTGATCTATAAAAACATCTTCATAACACAAGGCCCTCTGCTTCTCAGTGAGTGCGCACATCTGAATATCTCCTGCCGATTCTATGCCAGGTTACCCACATAAAACCAGACAGATCAGACACCCAAAGAGGAAATGCCACTTTAGAAGATTCACCGATACAGAACCTTGATCCAAAAAATGCCATTTACTTGAAGATAGGAAAAAAAGATCCATTTATAGTTTGCACTCGTTTTCTGAGCAGGCACATCAGTCAACTGTAAAATTAAATGTGATATAGGAGCAGTAAATGGCAGCATGAGAGATGAGAGCAGGAAGTTGGAAGATAGAAAAGAGGACTCAACACACCACAGGTGGAAACCTTTAGCCTTAAAGGGTCATTCCACACAAAACTGATTTTCAGTAATGGGCAGAATCTGGGATGCTGCATTAGGCTTTGTTTACTATGATAAAGGCAAAACCCTACACAAGGCACAGTAAAGTTACCAGGATTAAAGCAGTTATCAATTCCATTGCTCCATCATGCCGGATTTCTTCTACATCTGGAAAATATTCTTGACTTCTGGGCCGCTTGGATGTAAGCGCTGCAGATCTCATAAACCCCAGAGCTACGGAGTGGGAGGTGGAAACACAACCTTAGCACCGGGGTCCCTCTATGAGGCCTTCAGTGGTTACATGCGAGAGGCGCACAAGTACACCGGGAGCTATAATAATCCCAGCATATAACCAAACAGTTTACCATTCCTGGACCCTGTTGGAGAGATTTCTCACCACTTCCTGACAGGGCGGAAAGTGATAGTAATGATTTCCAATGAAGGAACAGACAAAATCAAAATGACATTTTTAGTAGAGTAGGGAAGGGTCAGACCTTCTGACAATGCATTTTTTGTTCCTGTCCTGGTGACAACCACTGCCAACATTTGTTTATGGGTGTAACAAAGACAGGAAGTTAGGGAAAGACTCTCTAATGGGGTCCGGGGCAACAGTAAAAATCTGACACAAAAGTGTAAACCTTACAATGAACGTCTCTTATTTTCTTCCTTTTGCTTGGCTAAATATGATTTATAAGGATGATTTATTTTAAAGCAGGACTCAGGCAAATTTTGTTTAACCCTTGCAGTAGGGCTAATCTGCCGTTTACAAGCGGTAGCTGTCACCCGTTCAAGTTAATGATCGGGTGACAGCCACTGCATTTAAACGCCAAAACAACACATGTGATCGTATGTGATGGATAGCTGCTGCAGAGTGTGCTGTCCCTTGTGATCTTGTACTGGACAGGAAGTTCAGGGAAGCTCAGCTGAGAGAGATCGAACTGTTTGGAAACATGATGACTGTAAGGGTTTGGGCAAAAATTTAAATAAATACTTTGCTGTGCACTGTATATTTGTTCTCTCTGGATTAATTATTGAAAAAAAGACAGAGTTTAAGGGAGAATTACGAGGCGAGTGATTTTCACTCAGCCTCATAATCTGAGCCGACCTGTGACAATGAAACTGTCACAGGTTGGCTCAGTAGATCGGGAAGTGAGCGAACACATACCGTCGCTCGCTCACTTCTCGATCTATCCCTGCAGAGAGCCGTGACTGTCACTCACGGCTCCCTGCAGGGATTCCCCCCTCCCCGCTCCGATCCTCCAGCGCTGACTTGCGAAATGGACGGGGGAGGGCACAGCTGGCTCTGCCTCTGGATAGAGAGACGCAGCTGTCAATCCCGCAGCTGGGTGGATCCAGACAGTATTGTCGCGATCTGTCCCGGCTGCGGCGTCTCAGTATACCGCAAGCTGTACTGAGCTTTGGGTCACGAGAGGACGCTTGTTTGTGTTCTCCCCTGACCCTTAGGAGAACTATGGGGAAAAGCACTGACCCCATAGTTCTCCTTTCATACACTTGTGCTCATAAGTTTACATACCCCGGCCGAATTTATGATTTGGTGGCCATTTTTCAGAGAATATGAATGATAACACGAAAACCTGTCACTCATGGGTAGTGTTTGGCTGAAGCCATTTATTATCAATCAACTGTGTTTACTCTTTTCCAATCATAATGACAACAGAAGCTACCCAAATGACCCTGATCAAAAGTTTACATACCCTGGTGATTTTGGCCTGATAACATGCACACAGGTTGACACAAAGGGGTGTGAATGGCTATTAAAGGGAACCATCCTCACCTGTGATCTGTTTGCATGTAATCATTGTGTGTGTATAAAAGGCCAATGAGTTTCTGGCCTCCTGACAGACCGTTGCATCGTTCATCCAGTGCTGCACTGACGTGTCTGGATTCTGAGTCATGGGGAAAGCAAAAGAATTGTCAAAGGACCTGCGGGAAAAGGTAGTTGAACTGTATAAAACAGGAAAGGGATATAAAAAGATATCCAAGGAATTGAGAATGCCAATCAGCAGTGTTCAAACTCTAATCAAGAAGTGGAACATGAGGGGTTCTGTTGAAACCAAACCACGGTCAGGTAGACCAACTAAACTGTCAGCCACAAATGCCAGGAAAATTGTTTGGGATGCAAAGAAAAACCCACAAATAACTTCAGGTGAAATACAGGACACTCTGATAACATGTGGTGTGGCTGTTGCAAGATGCACAATAAGGAGGCACTCAAAGAAAGATGGGCTGCATGGTCGAGTCGTCAGAAGAAAGCCATTACTACGCAAATGCCACAAAGTATCTCGCTTACAATACGCCAAACAGCACAGAGACAAGCCTCAAACCTTCTGGCACAAAGTCATTTGGAGCAATGAGACCAAAATTGAGCTTTTTTGGCCACAACCATAAACGCTACATTTGGAGAGGAGTCAGCAAGGCCTATGATGAAAAGTACACCATTCCTACTGTGACACACGGAGGTGGATCGCTGATGTTTTGGGGATGTGTGAGCTACAAAAGGCACAGGAAAGTTGGTCAGAATTGATGGCACGATGAATGCAGTATGTTATCAAAAGATACTGGAGGACAATTTGCATGCATGAGCCCGGAAGCTGCGCATGGGACGTACTTGGACATTCCAACATGACAATGATCCTAAACACAAGGCCAAGTCGATCTGTCATTGGCTACAGCAGAATAAAGTGAAGGTTCTGGAGTGCCCATCTCAATCTCAATATCATTGAGCAACTCTGGGGAGATCTCAAACGTGCCGTTCATGCAAGACAGCCCAAGAATGTACAGGACCTGGAGGCTTTTTGCCAGGAAAAATGGGCAGTTTTACCACCTGAGAAGATAAAGAGCCTCATCCACACATACCACAAAAGACTTCAAGCCGACATTGATGTTAAAGGGGGCAACACACCGTATTAAGACCTAGGGTATGTAAACTTTTGATCACTACTTTTGATCACTACCCATGAGTGACAGAAAGGTTTTCGTGTTATCATTCATATTCTCTGAAAAATGGCCAGGAAATCATAAATTCTGCCAGGGTATGTAAACTTATGAGCACAACTGTATTACCTTAACGGTCAAGCAAGTTCACCACCATTGTCCTCTCTTGACATGACCAGATTCATTTTAAGGGGAGGGACTGTGACGCTGGGGTTGCCTGCACACCAACGTTTCACAGAGTTAAAGCTCATTCTCCCTGCTAGGAGGACGGCTCCAGCTCTGACTCAGCAGGGGGTGGGTTGGACCTCTGCAGAGAGACCACTGCTTTTACACAGAGAGAAAAGGTCTTCTCTGCAACATGCAAGCAGGGAACAGACTTTTCTACTCCTGCTGTGACCGCTTCTAAAGAAAACAAACTTTTGCACACCTTTTATTTGATGCACTTGTATTAAGTGCAATTAAATTGGAAGTTGAGTTGAAGCAGGGTTGGCACAAGCAACACATTACTCTAGCCATGTGGTCTAGAAGATCAGATACATTGCATATACACAGCTCTTCTTGCTTCATATATTTGTGGAAGGGAACAAAATGTATTTAGGAGTTCTCTCACTCTAGTTCTTTTATAAGTAAACAGACTCCATACTGTGCCATGCAAAGTGCCCAACAGTTTTTTGATCTCTCGGGTCCATGCTGTGTTTATGGCAACATTTCAATACATAGGACTTTTCTGGATAGCACATCATGGCTGGGATAAAGAAGTTAAATATCTACACAAAAATATTCTCCATAAAGCATAAGCTGATCTGCAAAAAATCATAAATGGCATTTATCTTGTTCTTAGAAACAGCAGAATTCTTATGTACATGTTGTGGCAGCACACTCTGCTGTGCAATGTTAGGAAGTACAACGGACAAGGAATTTCCTGTATCCAATTAACAAGGTAAAGAATGTTTCAAAACAATGTACAAATCATTCAGTTATCACATTAACTTAAAATGAATGATATATAAACAATATAATCTACTCAATCCCAGTCCTGAATGACTGCATTTTAACCAGACTTTGATGACACAATCTGAGGACTGAAAAAACAAACTTCAATCTCCCCTAATAAGAACATATTTAAAGTGACACTAAAATGCTTTGACATACCTCAACAACTTGCTGACCGGGGTGTTAAACCACCTTCCTGTCCAGGACATTTTTCAGTATTCAGCGCTGCGGTACTTTGACTGAAATTTATTCCGTCATGCAACGCTGTACTTAAATGAATTGTATATCTTTTTTGGGGGATACATAGAGCTTTCTTTTGGTGATATTTAATCACCACTGGTTTTTTTTTTTTACAATAAAAAGAAAAGAGTACCGAACATTTTGAAAAAAACCCCCACAAAACGTTTTTCCTACATTATCTTATGAAACCTTTATTATTACCCAATTTTTTTGTAAAACATAAAAGACGGGGTCACGTCGGTTAAATAGACACCAAACACGTCAAGCCTTAAAATTGGCCATACCCAGAATTGGCCATAGGCGACACTTTATCAATTTAACGTTAACAGTCATTGATGGCCCTAGAATAACTGCTCGCACTCTGATGTTTGCAGTGATATGTATGATGTGCAGCATAATGGTCGTTTTCGACGTGGGCACACCTGATGCATGCCTAGAGGTGCCCTATGGTCCCAGTCAGTGTCAACCCCTCAACTATAGTGTGAATGGAGCCTCCAAGGACAACACAACAGATGTCAGAAGATCCTTATGATCTGTAGCATTTGGGTTTCCACAAAACAGCATTACACAAGGAGAGACTGGCTCTCTTGTTTGCAGTTTCCAAAGCAAGCAAGTCTCTTGGATTGGGGTCAGCCTGACTTTGTGTCCAGGAGAGCAGTGAGACATGGGGGAGTTTAGTAGACCAAAAAGGCAAGTGTAGATGAGCAAGCAGTAGGCATGTACTAAATGTGAGATTGCAGTCCGTCATTAGAGCGAGCTTGGAGCGGTGGCTTCTTTACAACAGACACAGAGACCATGGGGAACAAAAGGAGCCACCCTCCAGAAGGAAGGACAGTGTCAGCACCAATTCAGAGATGATTTGAGGATCTACAGCCGAGTGATACACAAATTTGATACATTTTTGTTAAAAGTTAATGGGGGAAATTTATCAAAACTGGAGCAGGCAAAATCTGGAGCAGCTGTGCACGGCAACCAATCAGCTTCTCTCTTTGGTTTGTTGTTAAGATTTGAAAATCAAAGAGAGAAGCTGATTGATTGCCATGCACAGCTGCTCCAGTTTTGATAAATTCCCCTCAATGTATTTTTAAGATTTAACGTCTGAGTTTAGTGTCACAATATGTATTCAAAATAGCCAACGTTTCCCTTACTGAAAAAAAAAAGAAAATGACAAAAATCATTTTACATTAAAGAGTGCTGACCTGCAGGCATTGATATAGTCCTTCCTGTGCTCCAGGAGAAAATCCTTTAGTTTCCCAATGTTACTGATCTGAACAAAGACAAAACACACAGAACATTGATTTAATATATATCTTGCACATTAGCAGTGTTTATACATACCAAACAAAAAGTGAATAATTTCTAGGATTATGTCCCAACAAACAAAAACAATACTCAACACTCCTAATGTAGCAAAGAACAACAAAAGCAACAAATGGTTGTCAAGAAATTACATCAGATTGTACAAAATGCATCAATCAGCAAGACCTGATTCTACAAAGGAGAAGAAATATGGGGCTACTATTGCTGACCTTCCCAGAATGTCATGCTTCAATGCTTTCGGGGGCACTGACCGTAAGCAAGCAAGTCAGAATTTTTGTCTTCAGATGTGCATGCTTGCTCAAGGAAAAAGGGTAAACAGTACTTTAGTACAGCTACCCTTCTTTAAATGATGATGATTATTATATAGGACCTATATTGCACCAACAGTTTCCGCAGCGCTTTACAATATCTAAACGATATTACAGTTACTATACAAGTCAAGACAAGATGGTAAGGAGGGCCCTGCCTGTGAGAGCTTACAATCTAAAAGGGAGGGGGACATGAGGAGGTAGCTGTGTGGGAATGAATTGTTTGAGAAAGTGATAGTTCAGTGGTTAGGTTGAGGCTAAATAACCACACACACCTCCCTACTCCTTGTTTACTATGGGTGGCGGATGGCCTACCCTGCTCCTTGTTTACTATGGGTGGTGGGTGGTCTACCTACTCCTTGTTTACTATGGGTGGTGGGTGGCCTACCCTACTCCTTGTTTACTATGGGTGGTGGGTGGCCTACCCTACTCCTTGTTTACTATGGGTGGTGGGTGGCCTACCCTACTCCTTGTTTCTATGGGTGGTGGGTGGCCTACCCTACTCCTTGTTTCTATGGGTGGTGGGTGGCCTACCCTACTCCTTGTTTACTAAAGGTGGGGGATGGCATTTCCATTGAAATGCATGGGGATTCTATCGCGCATGCTGCCCATAAGGGAGACTCTCTTTAGTGAGAAGGCCGTGTGGCTCCCAACAGGCTACACAATGAAGATCTACAATTAGTGGGGACAGGTAAGTTTAGGAATTGGGGGGAGAGGGGATTATTTAAAGAAGGATTCAGCATTATCTATGCGTAGAGCTGTAGCTTTATTGGAGAACCATCTTAAAAACATTGCATCTGGTTACGGAAATTGCGTCCTTTTTCCAGCAATACACTACTAGTGGGGCGGACACAATACACCAGACCTACAGTGTCGTGGTAAAAAACAATATCTGCATTAGGAAGTCCAGACCCGCTGAGTCCGGTGAGGAACAACAGTGAAATCGGAAACTCCATTCATATAACGCATTAAAATTGACTGTAATGAATGTTAATTATATTGCAGAGGTGTGTTTTTTGACATGAAGCCATTTTTGTTGGTCAGTATAAAAAAAACAAACTGAATCCACTGTGATTTAATGTTCTATAACAACAAAACCAAAGTTTCACTGTTTGATGGAACTGCACTTTGGGTTTCCTCTGGCAACATTCTACATGTTTCCAATGAATGGGTTGAAAAACTAAAGCAAATACAAACAAAGAGCCACTAAAGCAATAGGAATTTTTCATACAGAAACTGTAAAGATGTAACAAAATACCTGACCATTAGATGGCACCAAAACACAAAACATCAACACTTACTTTTTCATTCCATGTCTTTACAATTACATACCGACTATACTCCCCACTTCTTAAAAGAAACTTACACTGAGAAGAATATGGAGGCTGCCATAGTTGTACTCCTTTATGACACCATCATAATGATCACAATAGATGCCACTTTCCACGCACACACATAGGATGAGAGTTGCCAAACCAGGTTGTTTTTAGTTAGACTGGCTTGTAGTAGTACATTCACTTATGTTATTTTGAAATAAAGAATTGCTCTTATTTTATCCATTTCAGTTACCTTTCATGTTGAGTTCCATACACAACAGTAAACATGCCCCTAGACATCAGATGACATTTATCTACGGAGCAACCAAGGGCATGCCCCAAAAAATTGAAGTAGGACAGATACAGCTGCCTACATACTGTGTATATTGTTTTTGCATTTAGATACACTTTAACTGAAACACTACATTTATTTATAGATGCACATTGCATAATAACAATACAACCAGCAAAGGTTTCCAAAAAGAATCTTTAATGCCAGTCCAGATATAATTCTGCCAGTCTCTTTCATCTTCCACTAAAAGTGAATTGGACATTTGGAAGATGGAGGGAGACGTGCAGTTTTATTATTTTTAAACAATACCTTCAGGTCAGGATGTCTGATGTGAAGCAATCAATACAAAAATCACAGTATTTATACTCTGTGGGATCACTGCCATTTGTGAACACACCAAACAGCTTCTTTTTTTTTTCTTGCTGCCTGCAGGTTAAGGAGGAAGAGCTGCTTTGCTAAGGGTATCTACAGTAATTTTATTGTTTATCTCATGGAGGCTGATAGTAAATAGGGAACTATAATGTTTTCATCATTCTATGTCTAAGAATTCTTCTCTTTCAGTTATTTTGATAGTTTGTTTAGAAAGTTTGGCTACAATTTAGTCGTTAAAATAATCCTATAGTGTTTTGGGAAGTCCTAAGATCTCATCTCTTGGGAAGTCCTAAGATCTCATCTCTTGGGAAGTCCTAAGATCTCATCTCTTGGGAAGTCCTAAGATCTCATCTCTTGGGAAGTCCTAAGATCTCATCTCTTGGGAAGTCCTAAGATCTCATCTCTTGGGAAGTCCTAAGATCTCATCTCTTGGGAAGTCCTAAGATCTCATCTCTTGGGAAGTCCTAAGATCTCATCTCTTGGGAAGTCCTAAGATCTCATCTCTTGGGAAGTCCTAAGATCTCATCTCTTGGGAAGTCCTAAGATCTCATCTCTTGGGAAGTCCTAAGATCTCATCTCTTGGGAAGTCCTAAGATCTCATCTCTTGGGAAGTCCTAGGATCTCATCTCTTGGGAAGTCCTAAGATCTCATCTCTTGGGAAGTCCTAAGATCTCATCTCTTGGGAAGTCCTAAGATCTCATCTCTTGGGAAGTCCTAGGATCTCATCTCTTGGGAAGTCCTAGGATCTCATCTCTTGGGAAGTCCTAGGATCTCATCTCTTGGGAAGTCCTAGGATCTCATCTCTTGGGAAGTCCTAGGATCTCATCTCTTGGGAAGTCCTAGGATCTCATCTCTTGGGAAGTCCTAGGATCTCATCTCTTGGGAAGTCCTAGGATCTCATCTCTTGGGAAGTCCTAGGATCTCATCTCTTGGGAAGTCCTAGGATCTCATCTCTTGGGAATTCCTAGGATCTCATCTCTTTATCTCCATATTAGTTTGGGGTCAATGCCTCAAATTCTTGAAGCGAAAATGGTCAGCATGACAGCCAGGCAATCAGTATTTTTCAGAAAGTAGTTGGCAATGCCATCAAGTGCATTTGACTGAGACAGACTTACACGAAGAGAGTCAGACTCTGCCAAAGTAAAGCTACATTTTTCATATGTATACCTATTCAGTAATTTAAAGCTGAATTATAAGATGATATAAAGATACACATTAAAGAAGTATTGAACTCCCATTTTTTTTTCAATAATTAACCTGGATCAAACAAATATACATTGCCCAGCAAAGCATTGCTTTACATTTTTTGCCAAAGCACTTACACAGTCATCATGCTTCTGAACAGCTCCAACTCTCTCAGCTCCACTTCCCTGAACTTATTCTGCAGCACAAGATCACAAGGGACACATCAGTCTCCAGCAGCTGTCCATCTACTAGCTTGGAGAAGCGAGAGCAGGAGATTCGCTTGCTTTGCTGTGCCTGTGTGTTTGTGGAGACACACACAGCTTACTAGCACACACAAGGGTGGCTCCATAGGACACTGCAAGAGAAAGGAGCCACCCAAAAAACAGGATATCAGGGCCGGTGCTCAGGGGACCAGCTGATTCTACAGGAAACTAAATCTTTCAAACATCAAGAAGCAGCATCCATTGTAAGTGAATTAAGCATTTGAAATAGATTAAAACCCTTAAGTCTTTAATATCACTTTAATGCAGCTCTGTAATCATGAATACATAATTATTAGAGGTGCACTGAAATAGAAATGTAAAAACCGAAACAAAATCGAAATGGAAAAAATTGTCAGGCCGAAACCGATACCGAAAATGTTTTTATTTTAATTTGTTTTTTTTAAATAAATTATTATACAGGATTCATATAGCTCCAACAGTTTGTGCATCGCTGTACAATATAAAGGAAGACATTACAGTTATAATACAATTCAAGACAAGATGGTTAGAAGGACCCTGCTCAAGAGAGCTTACAATCTAAAAGGAAGAGGCCAGTGATACAAAGGATGGTAGCTGTGTGGGGATAAGACTGAATGTGTGTCCCAGTTGTGTCGGGTTCTCTGTAACCTTTCACTAAACGCAGATCATCAAACCCAGTGCCCATTAGTCTCTGCGCTTAAACTGCTACAGCCACAGAGAAAATAAATAACATTTTCTAAGCCTCGGCTCCGTCTGAAATTCAGTAGTCCTGTAAGAGCCGCAAATTAAAAGAAGGGAGGGGAAAGTGCGGAAGTGGTAATTGCAATGTGTTTTCTTGGTCAATTAGACTGTACTTTCTCAATTCACAAAAGAAAATCCACTGTATCACAATGACAACTGTCTCATTTCCAAATGATTTGTCTCTGGGGGCACGGGCCCAGGGTTCAGATTTCCCAGACAAAAGTTTGGTTTTTAAACCAGGCTTGCACAGAGCAATTGATCCTGTAACCTAAAACTGGCCAGGTTGAGCAACATCTAAACAATAGGACAAGGGTGGCCATGTGCAGAGAGAGGTGCAGTTTAGAGGCAGGAGACAGCCAGCCGGGCTAGCTGTAATCTCATCATCAAAACTGCTACCTTGTTCAGTTTCTGTTTTGTGTCACTAAATCACCAGGGGAGGGGAAAAAAAAAACAAGACATGAATGGCACCCGAGATAACATGCATTGTTGCA